ATTCCACTAAGCTATCTCTCCAGCCCCTCCTTGTAACAAATATAATGCAAGCTCAGCACTGTCCTCTCTGTTATAAAGGAACTTCTGTCTCCAGGTCCTATTGTCCTTTAGGTAAACTCTATTATAAATACTCCTTTTGGGGCCAGGGAGATGGCTCGGTGGAATAAGTGCTTCCCTGGCAAGCACAGGGGCCTGAGTTCAATCCCTGGTTCTGCAAAAAAATAAATACTCCTTTCTGTTCTATCTTTTCAACCTCTCTTTTCTTTCCTTTTTTTTTTTCTTTGCGACAGCATTTCGCTATGCAGCTTTGAGCTCACTATAGCCCAGTATGGCTTCAAACTTGCAGTAATCCTCCTGCCTCAGCCTCCTGAGGGCTGGGATTACAGGGGTGCACCAGCAGTCCCAGAAACCACTCTTTTCTTAAAATATCCTTACTGTCCTTACTGTCAATGAATTGCACTCAGATACCTTCCATAGTAAAATAAGAAACTTTTCTCAAGTCTGCTTTATCTACTGCAGTTCCTTAGGCAAAGTTTTTCTTTCATTGCATATTTCCTCTCTCCTTATAGTCAACAAATTCAGTTCCTCTGGTCTGATTTGTTTGCTGTCTCTGTTGCTAAATTTTGTTTTTAATCTTCATCTTTGTTTTGTTTTTGTTTACTGGGAATCGAACTCAGGACCTTGTGCTTGCCAGGCAGGTGCTTGCGGCACTGAGCTATAACCCTAGCCCAGTATTTTAATTTCCAAAAGCAAAGTAATTTCTCTCCTCATATTTTACCTACTTAACATTTTTGGTTTTGTCTTTTTTTTTTCATGTATTTGGCAAAGGGTCTTATTACACAGCTCGGAATCAGTTGATCCTCCTGTTTTCAGTTTCCCCAGTGCTGGGATTGTTATGGGTCACTCAACATAGGAACCAGATCAGCCAGACAGAAATTTAAATAGAGCCTTTTATTTACTGAGCTCAGGTCCGTCAGCCATTTCTCACGTAGGTAACGGGGGTATTTATAATGGAAATCACATCCAGTTTGGTAAGTGAATTTGTTATCTAGCACAGAACAACAAAAGACTATATTATATTCATTTGACACAGCTGCAAACTGTTTGTAACTAAAGATCTTTCATAGCTTAGTGATAAGTGCATATTTTACAAGATATATCTTAAGCTGACCACGTTACAGGAGATGGTTAGGGAGAGAGCTTGTTGCCTTGACAAGAAACATTTACTTATTGTTGAACAGCCTTGAGCCGAGAAGGAGAATACATGTCTTAGAGTAGATAACAGGAAGCACAAGGATTTTTTAAAAAAATAATTTCCCACAATTAAGGCACAGAATTCTTTTAACCCTTTATAGAATTACAGGCGTGCATCACCAGTCCTGGTCTCAGTGGCTGACTCAGTGCTCCTCAGGGGCAGGGCTGGCATGGCCTGGGGTGCTAGGGTGTTTTTGTCTTTTTGAGACAGGGTTTCACTATGCAATTCAGGCTGGTCTTTTTTTTTGTGGTTGTCAGATCATTTCTTTATTGATATATTTTCTTATGCTCCTTAGCTAACTGGGCACTTGACAGTGCTGTTGTTGATGTCATCTGTGATGTCATTCATGAGGGTGCCAGCTGTCCGCATTGCGGCCCACAGACTGGGCGGTCCCCAGGATCTCCTTAATGGTTCTGGAAAGTTCTCTGGCTAAAGACCAGGTGCCCCATCTGTGGGGCAATGTTGACAGTCTCATCAAAGGTGATATTTCCACTGTGTTTAATGTTTTTCTGCTTCTTTCTGTCTCTTGGCGGCTCCTTGAGGGCTTTGATGATCAGGGCAGAGGCAGAAGGCACCACCTCAGTCAGCCTGTCTGTTCTGAATGGTCAGTTTCACCATAATCCTTCCAGTCACCAGTTGCCTTGATGATGTATGTCATCCCTCACTTTGTTTGGATACAGACCCAAGGGACCAATCTTGGGGGCCAGGGCAGACGTGGCACCAACTTTACCACTGGTGCACCTCAGGTACACAACTTTAATCACGTTGGGGTCGAACTTGGGCGGCATTTTGGAGGTGGCTGGTGTCAGATGAACCCAGATTCAGGACAACCGAAGAAAGTTGCACCTTAGCCTCCTCCTAGCCAAAAACCAAAAGCTTCAGGATGGTCTTGAACTCACTTTGTAGCCCAGGCTAGCTTCAAATGTGTAGTAATCCTCCTGTCTCAGCCACCTCTAAATGCTGGGATTACACAAGTGCAGTACCATGCTCAGCCTCACCCTCCACTTCTGTTCTCTAGATCGCTTACTATAATTGGTGTCTTAGTTACTTTTTACTCATTGCTGGGACAAATACCCGACACTCAAAATGAAGGAAGGAAAGATTTATTTAGCCCACAGTTACTGGAGGGTTCAGTCCATATTCCACTGGCTCCAAGGGAAAGGATAGCAGTTCACGCTGCAGAAAACAATGAAGAGCAGAGGAGGAGCAGCAGATGCAGTGTCCAAGCGTCTCTCTTAGAGGAGCAATTGTAGCTCCTCCAAAGTGGTACGGCTGTGAAGGTCAAGCTCCTCCAAATACTGGGACTTCTCCACCTAAGCCAGGCAGGGCGGCAGGAAGTCTTTCTCAATTTCTGGGCCCTGCCCACCTGCAAGGCTATGCCCCCCACGTTGAGAGCTGCTGGAGCTGATTCAGCCAATTTGACACAAATGTGTCAACTAATACAATTGGTTATATTTCTCAAGGCTTAGCCCTCAGGCCACTCTTAACTGTATATTTCACAGTATCTTTCAACTTCCACGTGTTTATGTCAGTCGTTAGAATTTGTTGCTAACCTATACTTTTCCATTAATTCAAGACAATCTGAAGCACTCATTATAAAATGTTATATGTTCCAAAAAAAAAAAAAAAAATGTTATATGTTCCAACTAACCTTGCCTGTTCAACTGATGGATTTCCAGTGCACTTTATCTTTGGTTTGTTTTTTAGACAAGGTCTTGATTTTGAGTCATGGTCTTGCTGTGTAGTTTAGGCTGGCCTTGAATTCACTGTGTAGCCCAGGTTGACTTTTAATTTACGGAAATCCCCCTGCTTTAGCCTCCTGAGTGCTAAGATTACAGTTTGGCCAAGTTTTCTACTGTTTCCCTGAGGCTTATCATAATGACCCAAGGGACACTCCCAAAATACTTCTATTACTAGATTGAAGTTCAGTAATGTTGCGAACTGGGGCTTATTAGTCAACCTGAGGTATAACCTTTTTTTTTTTCCCCTCCCCAGGTACTGGAGATTAAACCACAGGGTCTTGGCTTTGAGCTGTATCCCCAGTCACCTTTTTCTTATTTAAATTTTTAAATTTTGAGATAAGATCTCAATTATTATTAATTATTTTGTCTTTTTTGAGACAGAGTCTTGCTATGCAGTTCAGGTGGGCTGTGAGCTCACTTTGTAGCCCAGGCTAGTCTCACACTTGGACTAATCCTCCTCCTTCTCCTGCCATATCCTCCCATGTGCTGGGATTACAGGGGTGCACCACCATGCCTGGCCTTCTCAAAATTATCTTGTCTGAATTTTTTTTTTTTAATTTTAGGGAAAGGTCTACAGGGTGTTCAGGGTCTCGCTACTAGATCGGACTTGTAGTGATTCTCCTGTTTACAGCTTCCCAAGTGCTAGGATTACAGGTGGGCACCACCACGCCCAGTCTCAATTGCCATCTCAGCATGCCCCAGGGATGGCAGGCATGGTAGGCCTGGGGATTGAACCCCCAGCCCCTGCACCTGCTTGCAGGCGCTTTAATCCGCTGAGCTATTTGGCCAGCCCTTGTCTGAAAATTTTTTAAATTACAAAATTTAAATTTTCAGATAAGATCTGGCTGTGTTCTCCTGGCAGGATTATATGATTCTTCTGTGTAAACCTCAATCATTACTGGGATTATAGGTATGGGTGCATCACCTGAGCTGACTTTATTTGTATACTTATGCTATTTCAGGAAATACCTGATTAAATCCCCAAGACTATTAGCTTTTTCACATTTGATAAATTCCATAACCTTTTTTGTCTTTTTTCATTTATCAAATGAGATGGATATTAAAGTAGCTACCAGCCAGGATTGTGAACTGTGGATAGACTTGCTTTCTAAAACTTTTGTGTAAATTGCTCTGCTCACTTACAGTAAGCATTCCATAATTAAATTCCCTGCCTTGCAGACCTGACATGCTTGAGTGACTTATCTGAAAATCTCTACAGGAATTTGGAACTGATGTCTGGCAGTCCCAAGGGTGTTTGCAATCAAATTCAACAAATAGCAATGTTGCTCGTTGCTCTTTTCTACTCTTTTTGCCGGCTGCCTCCTTCCCCAGTGACTCTCATGTACTGGAATTCCTGAAATTAAAATCCAGCCATACCGGGTGTGGTACATATGTCTGTAATTCTGTAATCTCAGTACTGGAGAGGCTAAAGCAGGCGAATTGGTGGGAGTTTGAGGCCAACCTGGGTTACACAGTGAGTTTAAGACCAGCCTGAACTACTTCGTGAGATCCTGTTGCAAACAAAATGAAGTGGTCTGGGGAAGGAGCTAAGTACGAAGGTCCTAGTTAAATCCCCAGTACCTCAAGGAAAAAACAAAAACAGCCCAAACAGTACTGGTGCCCTCTGTGGCTCCCTTCCCTGTAACTTCCTACCATCTTTCCACAGGTAACTTAAAAAAGACACAAGTTAAGTTTAAACCAGGTAGTCTTGCGAATTATTAGTAACGCACACCAGACTTAAATTTTACTACCGAGGGGTTGGGGTAAAAACATCTCTTTAGAAATGGTCGATAGGCCTCCATTTCCCGCCTCAGTAGTGAACAACTGCTGCAACCCGAGGCCTGAGCAAGGTGCGCGCGCCGAGCAGGGGGAGGGTCCTGGCTCGCGCCCAGCGGTGGGGCGGGGCGGGGCGCGCGCCGAACCGGGACCTAAGGGGGTGGGGGTACGAGCGCTCTCGCGAGAATGAGCTCTTGGGCTGCAGCCGCTGCCACCGCCTTCTGCCTGCGCTGTTAACTGCAGGGGATTGTGGGAGCCTCCGCGTCCCGCTCGCTGGGAGAGAGGTACCTCTCCTTTTCCCTCTCCCTTTTCCTAAGGTAGGCGTGAAGCGGGTAAGAGTCGGGGTGGGGTGGCCGGGGGGCTCTACGTCCGCCGGGAGGGGGCAGCGATGGCGACTAGGCCCGCGGGGAGCCGGCGGCGCGCCTGTGTTGCTCGCTCCCGCTCGTCTGCTCTGCCTCCCTCCGCGCTGCGTATGTGAGCCGCCTGATCGGCGGCCGCCATGTTAGGAGCGCAGCGGCGGCGCAACCAGCCTCCTCGGGCGTCGGAGGTGAGCGGTCCCGGAGGGAGATACCTGTTCAGTAAAGAGCCCGGGCGCGGCGATAGAGAGAGGTTTCCGAGGGCAGCTGGTCAGCCGAGCTTTCCTCGTCCTGGGCTTACTGTGGGCGGGGGCGGGACGCGTAGCCCGTTACACGCGGGCCGCGGCGCTGAGGGGGAGGGAGGAGCGTTCGAGGCCTGAGAGACTTGCTGTCCGTGGAGGGCCCGCCGTTTGGAGAAGGTAGTTAAGTGAGGGAAGTTCTTGGGGAGCACAGGCCCCGAACATTGTGCTTGCCTTGTATAGTCCTCTGAAAATATGCCCCAAAATGGAGGATTTCTCAGACTGTGAAAAGCTTAATAGTTGGGAGCCGCGTTTCTTTGACTGGTGTCAGCCCTCTGCCGTCCCTCACTCCTCGCCTTTTTAGCGGCCCTCGGATTCCCCCCTCCCCCATCGCGCGCGATTTTAGCCGGGCATCTGGACACCACCCCCCCCCCCCCCCCGTCGCGTAAAAATGGCCGAAAAATGAAACGTTAACGCTTGTTTTTCGTGGTGCGTCGTGGAGAAAGCCGTCTCCAGTTCGCTGAGGGGCAACCGATTTGCTCTAGTTCAGTCAGTCACCTCACAACCCTTTTCTCTTTTTATCTAAGCGCTGTTAATGCTAGTTCAGGTTCTTCGTCAGAGGCTCGTGTGTTGTGGGACCTTCCGGTTTCCAGACAAAGGGTTTGGAGTACCGTGGTGTAGTCGCCGCACCGTTGTTCATTTTATTGGCCAGCGCTGTGGTATGTTCTGTGTTCTACTTTTACCGTAGATTAATGGCCCCTACGTATTTTCACTCTGCCCTGTGGCCATGTCTTGTGGAATAGCGTCTGTGGAATATTCTTGTTGGGTCGGTTGTTTTTTATTTTTTTTCTTTAGACTATTGTAGAATGCTTCTGGTGGTTCTGAAATTTGTAGTCTGACTAGCGTTGGAATAATGTGAGTCGTTGGTTTCATAGGCAGGTGTCACGGGATTTTGTACTGATACAGTGTTATATGTATTTAAGCTTTGGTTAAGATTTTTTTAAATATTCGTTAGAATATGTTTTTCTCATAGGCCAATTTAAACTTGACTATGCGGGCAAAGATAATTTAGACTCCTTAAATGTTCAAAGTAAAATTTACCTTTAAGAGCTCAGACGGTTATCTACGCAGTCTGTTGACATAATTTTGAGCATTAGTTTTTTCGAAATGGAGGGCGGGGGAGACATTTTTGCGAAGAACTGACGAATGCCTTTTGCTCGTTGCAAACGCCATCAAAGTACTACAGGAAGATGCTTCTGGTTGGTTATATAAGACTTGAAAAAGATCATTCAGGCAGAAAAATTTTGCATTGAAATTACTTAAGTATGTTTCATAGCACATAATGTATCAAATGTTTGTGTATCTTCAAGTGGTGTGCAGCGTTTTTTCTTAATACTGGATATTTATTTGTCTTGGGACGGGGTTATGCAGTTTAGGTTGGCTTTGAGCTCACTTTTGTCGCCCAGGCAGGTATTGAATTCACACAGATTTCATTTGCCTTAGCCTCCCGAGTGCTGGGGTTACAGGCATGCGCCACCATGCTCAGCTACTGGATTTGAACCATGCTATTATGCAAACGCTGTACCACTGAGGTGTATTCCTCAGCCTATTGTACACCTTTCATTGCATTTGAACTAATTAGAAGAGTTTAATAGCTTTTCATCTGAACATTTATGTTAGAGTGTGAATATACTGTTACATCTCAGCTAATGATAATTAAAATTTTTAGCAACTAACTGATAATGGTGGTATTATATACCTTTAGAGATAATTGCATATTTCAAATCTCCAATTTGAGCGAATACCAGAAAGATGTTTACCTAGGTAACTACAGTCCCCAAGAAAATGGTGTGTCAAAGGCAGTTACTAAACATATTACAGATCTGAAAGATTCAGACTGAGACTGTGACTTATAGCGTGTATGAAGCCCTAAATTTAATCATCAACACACAAAATTATAACTGTATCCTAAGAATCTTGCGAGCTGGATGTGGTGGTGCATGCGCTTGTAATCCCAGCCTTAAAGAAGCTGAGGCTAGGGCTGGAAGATCATTGCCATGAATTTGAGGCCAGTCTCTACGAAGTAGTGAGTTCAAGGTCAGCCTGGACTACAGTGATACCCTGTCTCAACAACAACAAAAAGAACCTTAAAGACAACTTTGGGGCTCTGCTAGTTTAATTATGAAAATCTTCACACCTACTTACTGTTACGTTTTGGGAGGAGAGTAACAGTAAATGACTATAGTATGCAATAGTAACTGGAAAGCAAAAATGAAGGAAAACTGCACTTTTTTAACGGAGTGTGTAGAAAAGTGGATACGCCTAAAAATGTTATCTCTGAATGTTGGCATTACAAGGATTTGTATTTCCATCCTGATATTCTGAAATTTCATTTCAGGCTGACCTTGAGCTTACTGTGTAGTCTGGGCTGGTTTTGAACTTGCAATGATCCGCCTGCCTCAGCCCTCCCAGTGCTGAGATTACAGGTGTGTCAGTTTACTTTTGTAAGCCTTTGTCCTTATGGCCCATTCTAGTTCAGATTGCAAATAAACCATCCAGGTTCTAAAAGTTGACAACTGGCTTGATATTTGGGGTAGTCAATGTATTTGTTGAATGGTGTGGAAGCGCTGTAACTTGGGAGTATAGTTTTGCCTTTTTATATTATACAAGATCATTCTAAGGCTATGAAGTGGGTATTTTCTTATTGGATCATTAGGCTCAAGAGCACTGATTGTTTAGAGAAAACTTGTATAGGAGTTGGATGTGGTAGCACGTTCCTGTAATCCCAGCACACTCAGCAGTTTGAGAGGTTAAGGCAGTAGGATCACAAGTTCAAACCCACTTTGGGCAATATAGTAACTTAGCAAAGCCTGATCTCAAGGCTCAAAATACAATTAGGTGCAAAGGCATTGGAGGGTTAATCCCCACAACCTAGAGGAGAGTGTAGAAAAAAAAAGAAATGTGAGTAATTTAAAAGTACAGCAGAGATAAAAGGTGATGGATTAAGTATATACTTAATTTGTGTTTTGGGGCCGGGGAGATGGCTCAGTAGAATAAGTGCTTGCCTGGCAAGCTCAAGGGCCTGAGTTCAATCCCCGGTTCCACAAAAAAAAAAAAAAAAAAATTGTGTTTTGTTTTGAGAGACAGCCTTACTCTACATAATTCAGGATGGCTTCAAATTTGTGATACTCCTGCCTTGGCCTACTGGTGTTGGGATTATGGGCAAGCACCATCACATCCAGTTTTAAGGTCCTTTTAAATTAAAGAAAATCTACATGAGTTGTAATGAAATTTTAGGTTTAAAGCTATTCAGAAATTAAAGAATAAAAGATATTTTATACCAATTACTGTCCTGCTTTCCTGAAAACTTAATGTGTCTTTTTTTTTTTTTTTTTTGAAGACGGCATACGAGATGTTGCGGCGTGACTGGAGTTCAGACGTGTGCTCTGCCAATCACGCAGCTTGAGCTTGGGGTCCTAACAGA